AGAGAACAATGGGGCTGCAACCCCGAGGAAACGGGGGAGGGGAGGGAGGCTAGGAGGGACTGCCAGAAGCAGGTACAAGTAGTATTTACTTGGACGCCCCCAGAGGGTGATCCAAAAGAGGTAGGGAGCACGTGACATGGAAAAGAGACCCGAGAATCGGTCAGGTCCCCTCCTCTCAGTGCTCTCACCTTATAAAGGTCTCGTTGAAATAACAGAAGGAAGTTCCACCTTCCACAAGACACATTATATACCCTTCACAATTCCATTGTCCAGAAACGGAATCGAAAAGAAAAATAAAGAAAGAGCCTTTGACTGAAGGGAAACCAGAGTTTTTAACGAAATGGGCGGGGGTATAGAGGCTCCACTTCCATACGCACTTGGCCAAAGACCACTTCGCCTGCATGACATCACATATATACACAAATTATAGGCGCCCCACTGCATCCACAGCCTACAAGTACAAATACCGTTGATATCCCCGGAACCTTATTGGTCGAGAGAAACTGACAGAACCGAACTCCCTTCTCAATTCTTTAAACTACATCCCACCTTCTGCTGGCTTGCTGCCGTCAAGCTCTCCAGCTCCGCAAAACACGCAACCGCCTAAGCGCAGCACTCAAGAAACACCCACCACCCTCCTGTTGTGTGATGCAGTGTCCTCTCTCATATACCTCCTCCCATCCAACCAAAACCTCGTCCTCATTCCACAGCATCAGCAGCCATGGCCAGCATACGTCAGCAAAGGAGAACCTGCATGGCCGCCCAGACCAAATTCATTATTAGGTTAGGTTTCCCATCAACCTCCTTCCCCTTTCCAGAGAATAATCCCTCCCCCGAATAATAACACCTCCCTCGCCATGCTACAAGAATCCAAGCAAAAAACTGAGCATACCCATGAGCAGGGAAGTAGGCATGTTCCAAAGGATATACCTGGCAGACATGGTTTCTCTGACCGTCCATTATCCGCTTCAGTTGTCTTTGCCTCTCCCCCTTCCTCCATCCGTTCATGAATTCACGAAACGTACCTCCCATGTTGCCCAGCCCTCACCCCTTGACAAAAAAAAAGGGGGGCGCCAGAGGCAGAACGAAGAGATAAACCTCTCGTCTCATCTGACGTTTGCTCATGGAATGCTCTCCCACTAAGGCAAGGAATGCCAGTCAGTAAACCTACATAAGTGCAGCATGCACACAAGACAACCAACTGATGACGCCTCCTCAAGTCCCACAGATACCCCCCCCCCCCCTACAAAGTGCACCCAGAGCACACCGAGCGTACCCTGTATGTACACTTCCTGTGCCGCCTCTGGCGTGAACTTTTCTAGATAACCAATCAAAGGGACTTTTTACGGAATCGTGTACGCTCAGCCTGCTGCCTTTTCCGCCTCCGAAGTGGACTTTTTAGTATTTACTAGTGTTTAGACGGCAAGTCGACAAGCTCTCGAAGGGATCGTGTGAGCTCTCACTTGCCTGCCACTTTGTGTACAACTTGAATATCGCCGTCAGTTGTCGTGCCGTGGGCAGGCCGCTTTTACGTTAAAGGTCACCAGCCTACCAGCCTGCATAATAACAGTCAAGCTATCTATAAAAAAATCGAGATAGAGAATCGAAATAGAGAGCGACTTCGACACAGCACACGCTACTGGCTTTGCTGTATTCGCAGATAGATTATCCAAACCATGAGAAAAAGAAAAAGCAGGCCGGGCAGGCAATGGCAAACTATCTCTGCTGATATATATACTCACTTGCGCTCCCAAACAGGAGTGCGATCTCCACGACTTCATCCTAGGGAAGAGACGGAGGCCTGACCAACATTCAATCGGAAAACTACTTCGCTCCGAAATAGAGTCGCAGCACCATGGGGCCAAGGGCCAGTTTCACCCGCAAACTCCCCAGCTACACAAGAAGGTCCCTCCTCAGCTTTTCCCAAGGCTCCCTCAAAGGTGCTTCCACTTCAAACGCTCGTGGTGGAGGCCTCGGCACAGAATCATGGCAAAATCGCAGAGTGCCTTACAATGCGCCGTCAAGAACACTTAGAACAGTACTGCCATGCACAGCTTCACAGTTTGTACTACGGGCTCCGTGGTGCACAGAAGCGTGGCAAGGATTCACCCGCTGAGCCGAAAACACAACCGCCTTTCGTCGACTTCCCGCCACCCAAACAGCTAATGCCGAAGAGACCATCCGTCATCATAACATACAAAGGCATCCTGCTCGTGCATATCCATCCTCAAGCCACCTCCATCACACAACCCCAGAAACAAAACTGTGGTGCCGAGGCACAAAGCCTCCTGCTAAACATGCAAGAGAGCGAGCATAGAAGAGAGGTGCTAGGAAACGTACACCATATACTGAATAACTCCCAGCCCGTGCATCCACAAGAGACCCTGCAGAGCATGGCAGCCTCATCATCCGAGAGAGAGGCCAAAAGTCCCAAACAATTTTTGCGATCATCAGACCTCCATTAAACATTTTGTTTTGAATGCACCCGAACAAAAAACTACACCTCCCCCCTTTTCCTGAAGTCCATAAACAGCAACTCCAAGCAAGCTCAGCTGTCTCAGACGGTTACGCAGAGAAATCATAGCTGCTGAGCAAAAGAATCACCCAGAAAAAGCACAGTACGCCCGCCACCACTTTCAAAAACAATCTTCAATGAGCTTACAATCAACTCCTGGATTTCTACTCTGGTTAAAAAACCCAATGAAATTTCTCACCAACACTGGCAACGCGAAGCACGATCAAAAGGGGCATTTCTGACAGACCAAGCGGGCTTCTATTCCACCGTGCACCAAAACCGAGGACCTTGCTCCGCCTTGCGCCAGTACGCAAAGAAACTTATCTGTCTCCGAAACTCGTCATTCAGCCGTCCACACGATCATCAAGAGGGCGCACGTAATGCTCGGAGCAGAGCGAACCAACAAACACCAAACCAAGGTCCTTCGACTTTACATCTCCAAGCCCCAAAAGCTCTCTCCTGGGGAAAACCACGTCACTTGGCCCTCCCCACCATACTCCGAAGGGCGCGCATAATGCAGGGGGCAGAGGGAGCACACAAATTACTTTCCGGCACGCGTGAGCCCCGAGAAAGAGAGAACCTTGCTGCATGAGAAACCTGCTGAAGTTCCACTGTACAATCCGATGCGATCCAGAGAGTCCAGCTCGCGCAGAAATTTGTGGACGTCTTAGCTGACCCCTCAGAAACTGGGACTTTTTTCGGCATCAAGCAGTACACTAAGACAGCCCACTATCAACCATACGCACTAGAAACAATGCAGATCTGTAAGGAAGAACATGAAATCAAGGATCAGCAAAACAAATCAAACGCTCTTGATTCAGTTCCCAAGACACCACTGCCAATCTGGCCCAAGCCTGGCAAGTCTTCGCACAGTGAAGGTTATTAATTGGTAGTGGCGCGGGGGAATGGAATACCTGCTTCAGGAAGTTGTGGACATTCCGCAGAGCAAAACTGCACTTGACCGCAGCATTGTCCTCGCATTGTGGAGCCTTTCCGCAGAGCAAAACTGCACTTGACCGCAGCATTGTCCTGGCATTGTGGAGCCTTTTCAAGAGATCTTGAGAGCCAGCACGTAGCGGGAACGAATCATGGTAAACTCCAACAAATCTTAAGGATCAGCAAATTGAAGAGACGACTAACATGCCTCCGACATTCAACTCCTTTTGCAGACCGAAAAAAAAAAAAAAAAAAAAAAAAAAAAAACAGACTGAGGCGGCAAATTCATGGCTCGCTCTGACGAGTTCAAACCACAAGGATGACCACTTCTACTCTCTATGCTTATCCTAGAGGAGGGCAACAGCCAGCAAAGGGGGATTCTCAGTTGACAGGACAGCCAAGCGCAGTCCCACACCAACGACCCAGAATGCTGTATGCCAGCCCTCCACACATGTTGGCAGCAAGACAGCAATGGGAAAAGATTTACAGCAGCATCTATGCAGAGAAGATTAGTTTGCCCTGCATACGCAACGGACGCTAGGTCTAACGGTTCCTTGGGAAATCTAAAAGAGGGCGGAAAGGGGGACATCGTGCAGCCCCAGAAACGAGAGTTGCAGTCCGTTCTCAAACACGAACAAGGTTTCTCAATGATCATCAATCCAAACATGAAAAGAATCTTGTACATCACGTTCTGGAGGGGTAGTCCCCATAATAATGGGGTGCACATGGATGGAACCGCGATCGTGCCCAGAACCGAACCGACTGAAAAAGTAAGTGTGCCTCGAGTCCGCATATGATAATACTACCACTTGAATAGAGGACTCGAGCTCAGCAAGGGTGTGAATTACACCACCACATGGAAAACGTTACAGGGGCTATCTGCAGCAGGATGGACGAAAGCACATGGAAATTTTTCCAGTGGCTATCAGCAAGAGAGCGTAAGCGAACCCCCGCTACAGAAAGCGCCTTAAAAGAGGCAGAGAGCCAACGACTTGGCTCTCCCATAGGGATGACGTGGTGCCAAGGATGCCAAGAGGAGGAATGAGGTAACTGTTGTGCATACAGGAAGAGATTCCACCGAAATGGAGAAAAAAGAAGCACAACTGACCAACTAACCGACGAACCAACAAACGAACAAACAAACACCATAACAGGCAAGGCCACGTATGCACACTGGCACCCCATTCGATGGACAAGACGATGCAAGGTGGGAAAGGTCCGGCCTCCATAGCACTACTGCATCCCTCTGTTCTTTGCTGAAAGCCACCGAAAGAAAGGGAATCAATTCCTTGCCGTCTGAAGTTGCAAGAGTTATCCTCTCAATGCCCCTCTGTAGCCTCCGCACTGGTAGCCTACCAACCCCCCCCCCCCCCCCCCCCCCCCCCCCCCCCCCCCCCCCCCCCCCCCCCCCCCCCCCCCCCCCCCCCCCCCCCCCTCTCTTTCCCCTCTTTCCCTCCCATTGACTCCTACCTATGCCGTGCAGGTCTGCCAATGCGGGCCGCAACGACTTGACACACTTTCAATGGAGGCATTCGTGAACTCTATAACAACCTCCACGGACGTACTAGCGGAGGTTCCCATCTCGCATTGCAATGTGGTAACGATCTAACCAGAGGTGTGCAGCGGTGGGATGAAGCTTGCTCTCCATAGGACTCTCCACAGGACAGTACAGGCAATGATGGCTCTCTCTCTTGTCGCAAGGATTCCCCTTCTCCTCGTACTTGCATCGCCCCTCCCAAAAATATTCTGTACATCGGTTGGGGTGTCTCTCAAACTCTTCCTTCAACAGTGGACACTGATAAAGATCCTTCCTCTTTGCCAAGAGCGACATTGCCGCTCGTATTGCTCCCATGGCCGTCTTCCGGAGCTGCACATAGCAACAACGACACAAGAAAAAGGGACTTCCATCAGCAAAATCACAATCAGTAAGCACCAAGCCAACGCCGCCGGATCCATGGCAGGGTGACATCACACATAGCAACTCCATCACTGCACAAGAAGAGCAACCATCTTCGCCCGAATAGAACACCCTGTGGTAACAACTGCATTTTGGAGTCCTCGCGGTCAGATCCACAGCAGAATGACATCAAAGTGTGCACAAGAGAGCAACTCCAGCATTGCACAAGAAGAGCAACCATCTTCTTCCCCGTTGTAACAACAGTATTTTAGTGCAACTTTTAGTCTAGATACAGCATTAATGACCGGGCATCTGTTCTATTCATTCGGGTGAGGCAAAATGTCTCCAGGGCAAGCACAGGCAAATGTAATATGGCAAGCAGTGCGGCTATCAGACGATAGCCATCCAGAGTCCAGCACAACAGACGGACAGACCTGCTCGACAAGTGCCATGTCCTCTCGCCTCCTTTCTCCGCCCTTCGGTTCCCATTAAGCGACACACTTGGTCACATACACGTCATGTCACTTCATTTCTAAGGAATTGCCAGGGCAAGCACAGGCAAATGTAATATGGCAAGCAGTGCGGCTATCAGACGATAGCCATCCACAGTCCACCGCAACAGAACGACAGACCTGCTCAACAAGTGCCATATCCTCCTTAAGCGACACACTTGGTCACATACACGTCATTGACTGCCTATTTCTTCTATTTCACTTCATTTCTAAGGAATCGTCACTCCAAACACAGGCAGGAATGTTTGACAGGTCTCCTTCACACATTATTGCAACATCGCTACAATGCAAGTAACGACAGGGCAATACAGAACCTTCACCGTAAGCCATACTGTACGTACATGTACAACAATTACCGAACATCACACCGCTATCCTGCCTTTCAGAGACAATTGCCACGATCTACTAAGGGAAGGGACTCCAATATCAGCCGCGGAGGTAGGAGCGCACTGGAGGGGCCACAATATCACGATTCTTCAATTATGCCGGCAGCATACCACCAATGACCACGAGACTTCCACTTGCACCCCATATGGTTGCAAGCGTTAGTCAGCCGAACAGTACGTTCTATTTTTGTTTCCCTTCCCCCGGACAAAGGAATGTGTCTATAACTACTACGAACGATTGAGTGTGTCCATATCTGCTAATCTATTTTTGTTTCCCTTCCCCCGGACAAAGGAATGTGTCTATAACTACTACGAATGATTGAGTGTGTCCATATCTGCTAAGGGAAGAGAGATGGCCCACCCGGCTTTCGACAAAGGGTATCTCATACCCGTGGATGTCAAGCCCGGAGTAGCGGAGACATATACCATTGCCCGCTGGGCACAATTTCATAGCGATACCAGCTAATCATAACGAGTTCGCTAGGGCATTCGAGGGCATTCTTATTTATTCATATATTTCATCAACGAGATTAAAAAAAAAGGGGAAAGAAATAAACATTCACATAGTGCTATCGCCTTTTTACAAACCCAAATCGATCGAGGTTACTGCCTCTGTTTCGACGACTGATATACACCCGTGAGTGGTAAAGCCTGGAGTCGCAGGGACATACAGCATTTCGCAAGTCCGCACAATTTCATTAATAACAACAGCTATAATAACGAGCGCATTACCTCTCTCGGGCATTCCACGGCATACCTCAATCCCGTCGCCTTTTTGAAAACCAATGGTTTTCATCGTCAAGCCCGGAGTAGAGTACCTAATAATGAGCGAATAATGAGCGCATTACCGAATCCGCACAATTACACTACATAACAAAAGCTACTACTGCATTGATACCTCCTCTCGGGCATTCAAGAGCATAACTCGATCCCGTTGCGCTTTTGAACAGCGCAATCCATTAAGGGTTACTCCCTGGATTTCGACGATGATATCTTACACCCGTGGATGGCCATTCCCAGAGCAGCTAAGGACACACCACGTTGTCGGGCAGGCAGAGTTCCAGAGATCCAGAGTTTCATAACAATAACAGAAGTGATAATAGACGATGAACTACCTCGGCCATTCATGCACATACCTTCAATACCGTCGCGCATTTCAAGGCCACCCCCGAGTTAAAAAAAAAAAAAAAAGCCTATTGAATCAATCAATAGCCCCATTTGGGCCATTTTTACAAGGCCCACGAGATCCAGAGTTTCATAACAAGGCCCACGAGAAACAAACAAACATGCTACAGTCTTCCCCCGAACACAACGTACCCTCTTTTTTTTAAAAAAAGGGCCATTTTTTATTTTTTTTGCATGTCATCCTTGCAGAGGGGCCATGCTAATGCCAATCTTCTCTGTGTCGTTCCAACTTCAACGGATGCCTCGAAGGACACGCACCCTCATTTTGGCTGCACCGTACCGAAATGATACCTTCACCAACGAGCCTACCCCCTCAGTTGGTACACCCGTGCAGTCTTGAAACGCACACCGTAGTTCGAATGCTGATGATGACCTTGATGAACGGAATCATATCATTCTGAATTACCCAGGCCCGGTCGGACCGATGAAGATATCCCAACGCTGTCGAAGAAGACAAAGAGAAAGATAACTTTCGTACACATTTGGTATCAGGGTGCGTTGTGTTCGGGGGAAGACGGTAGTTGCCACTATCAGCTTTGGATCCATGCCAAGTGCCGGTGCTGTCGAAATAAACGGGCTCCCGCGGTTCGACAGTCGCCCCTCAATCACCGGATAGGGACAGGTAGGGGACTACCTACCTCCTCCCCTACCTGTCCCTATCAAGAAGGTCTCCGAGCGTCAGAAACGGAAGTCAAAACCGGATTCTCCAAGCGGCCGACAAAGTCAACGCCAGTTCAAGAAAGTGTAAGACAGCCCCTCAAACCACGACCGCAGGAGCGCCGCTACTTCTTTTTTTTTTTTTTTTACCAACTTATTAACAACATGTAGATCAATGTTTCAAAAAAAAAAAAAAAAAAAAAAGAGCGCCGCTATTTCAGCAGTTTACGGGACGACTTCATGAACCCAACCGCACTGAACGGCTGGGATGACCTTGCTCGCCCTCGCCTCGAATGTAACCTGGGACCATTAAATTAGTACATCCAGTCTTAAAATCGCGCGAAATAGACATAAAGATCGCATTCTATGTTTAATGGGAGAAGAAGGGAGGGGGGGGAGATGGTGGATTGAGGTAGGTAAACACCAGTAATAACGGATTTTCAAGCCTACTCTACCCAGGACTTCATCGGCAACCGTTCGAACCGCGCTACCCTAGTAGTTCCACTGGGAAACAAGAACACAGGTCGAAGTAAAGCAAATACCATGAAGTGATCAGATCACGACGTAGATAGAAGTCACATAGCACAATTGGCAAGCATCGATCTAGATGAAACCCACATCGGGTCTTGACAGACTTCCCAAGAGCACAAAAAAAAAAAAAAAAAAAAAAAAAAAAAGCAGAAAGGTGGGTGGTATCCCGCGAAGCAAGGATCGAGCCCTGGCTGAGTCCGTAACAACAAAAACTATGAAAAAGGTTGCTGGCCAGACTAAGAACAGATGTCACAATACTCCAGTAGAGAGTGATGTTCCTCGCATGAGGTAAGATAGAAATGGAGTGGGGGTGCGCCAGGAGATATATATCGAGAGGAGTGGTGGGATGGGAGTCTCGCTTCCAATAAAAAAAAAAAAAAAAAAAAAAAAAAAAAAAGACTTCCCAAGAGCACAGACTGCCTTTTCCTTCATCCTCAGCATTTAACAAACACGCAAAACTACGTACCAGACGGCAAATCTCCTCGACTGTAGGCACTTCAACCTCGAAGTGCAAGGAGGATCTCTCGTATTTGCTTCTTTTCTTCTGCATCGGGTACCACGAGGGACCTCACACACGGTCATGGCAATGACAACCCCACAGAGTAGGGAAAGAGTCGCGCTTCGGTATCCAGACACATCGTCACCGGCGTTAAGTTACCCTCCGAATCGCTACGCGCGAGGGTAAAACACGCTCACTTCGTGGGCGATAGGAAATGAAGACGTTATCTTTCTTCCTCCTCCAGTAAAATTGTCAGCAGCCAGTTGATTCAGCAATGGCCCATCCGGCCCCCAGAATGCACAACAAGATCAACTCGGCTTCGCTGACAAAATATTTATTCGCCATGTGAGAGCTCCCACCAATGAAAGGCCGTAAGATCATATGAAGAGAGTAGCAGACTAGAATACCCTTAAGTACATTGACACTTAGCAAGACTAATCAATCAATCAATCAATCAATCTCCAACTTGTACTCCGGCTAAAACAAGGCGAGAGTAGCAGACTATGATACCCTTAAGTACATTGACACTTCGCAATACTAATCAATCAATCAATCAATCTCCAACTTGTAATCCGGCTAAAACAAGGCAAGATTAGCAGACTATGATACCCTTAAGTACATTGACACTTCGCAAGACTAATCAATCAATCAATTAATCAATCGATCAATCTCCAACTTGTAATCCGGCTAAAACAAGGCAAGAGTAGCAGACTATGATACCCTTAAGTACATTGACATTTCGCAAGACCAATCAATCAATCAATCAATCAATCAATCAATCTCCAACTTGTAATCCGGCTAAAACAAGGCAAGGGTCATACCGTTGGCCCACGTCACTGATCTCCAAACGATCGATCAGCTCAACCGAGCTCACCAACCGCCAAGCAGAGAGAAAAGATGCCATTCTGAATCTTGATACTAAATCAAATCCCGACAAGGGAAACCTCCGATGGCCTGAACCAACGGACCTACCTATTGAATTTTCCTAGGAAGCTTCTAGTTGTTACACCCTTGAACCGATCGATCAGATGAACAGAATAAAAGATCCGACTCGATGGGCGGTCAGTTTAATGAACAGACCCCGAGTTCGAATCCAGATGCAAACAGATGAACAGAATAGAATACAGTAATTCTGAATTACCTCTTGGGGGCGGTCAGTTCAATGATGATCTCATCGATGGGCGGTCAGCGAGATTAGGAATCGAGATGACAGAAAGATCCGACTCGTCGGTTGTGCTAGAAACCCAGTTCATTCCGTTTTATGTCTCACTTCAGGATTTTTTTTTGTAATACTTCAGCTTTACTTGTGTTATTAGGTCTTGAACTTTTTGCCATAATTTTCTATTACTTGTGTTATGTAGGAGCTAATGCTGTCCTATAAACGCCTACAAGACCATTCCGATTTCGCGGCAATCTCACAAAGAATCCACAAAGTTCATCCCGATTTGATGACCAATGGTGGAAGAAAAGCTACCAACCAATTGAGAGGTTATATATACCATGGCCAGCGAAGCTGTGGCGGGTCATGCATGATACATTGAGGGTTGTCTAGTGCTCAGAATACCACGTGCACCCCTTCGTTCCCGCCTTTTTTTGAAAGCAAGAGTGCTTAGAATACCACGTGCACCACTTCGTTCCCGCCTTTTTTTGAAAGCAAGAGTACCACGTGCAGCCCTTCGTTCCCGCCTTTTTTTTTAAAGCAAGAGACAAAAACGTCGCCGACCCGCGCATGGAGCTTTTGAAAGCTGTCCAACGGTCAGATACAATGCGCCCATTTATTCCCGCCTTTTTCTCAAGCAAGAGACATGCTTTTGCGAGCTGTCTAGCGTTCAGAATACAATGCGCCCCTTCTTTTTTCACGCCTTGTTCTCCAGCACGAGAGAAACCCGCGCTTCTTTCTTTTTTCTTTTTTTTCTTTTTTTTGAGAGGAACCCGCGCTTGTAAGGGCGATGGAACAGGCGGGACGGCAATCCATGGGGTATTGACATGCGGAGCAGTAGCAAACAGCGCGCTTCCAACGGCAAGAAGCATTCCAAGGATATTGATCTCACTCCACTACTCGAGAAATGTGCAAAACGAGAATGAATCTTCCGCTAGAACATGGAAAGATAATAAACCGCCATGATTTTTGTCTTTTGTGAAGATCGAGAGTAGTGGAGCGAGGCCCCATCGATTGGCGACTACATCCTCCAGTCTACCAATAACATACAGAACGTTGATTATAGTATATACATAGATTTGGCATTCGCCTGGATATCAACGGCAATAACATACAGAACGCTTATTATAGTATATATACATACATTTTGGCATTCGCCTGGATATCAACGGCTGGTAGATAAATAATCGAAAGAAGGGCACCAGCGCAGGGGCAATCAATGGAATGCGCGACCGCTGCTGGGTGAGATTTCATCCCATCCCATCCCATCCCACCCTCTAACAGACCCAAGTACGAACAATTTTTTTTTTTTTTTTTTTTGCCAAGTCCGAACAAATATAAAAAAAACACAAATCTTTAGAAAGAAAGGGATAACGGAAACAGCTTCAGGCGTAGCCGGCCGCAGCAGCAGGTGAAATCCAAGTCAACCTTCGCGGGTATTCAAGTTCCCCATATCGCACATGTACAAATTTTGCACATATACATATTGATATATATCGTCACATGAATTCTTCCATCACACCACTCTCTTCTCTACAACTCAGCCCGTTCAATGCTTCTTCCAGCGCCTTTTCCCTAATCCTGGTACATAACTGCAGCCACGTCATACAAGGCGTATCATCATTGCCTCCTCTCTGCTTTTTAATTGTCTAGCCAAACCAAGAGCGTGCCAAGCCAAGAGGGCATTATAACCTGCTATCTCCTCGTTCACCCCTCTTCTAATCCGCACCTGCCCTTCAAAACAAAACAAAAAAAAAAAAAAAAAAAGACTGCGCCGCGCTCTGCTGCAGTGCAATACACAGACAACACTTTCCGCCAACTGTTGCCAACTTACGGAAGCCATAATACGCCTACTACTGCATGTACAACACCTGGCAGGTATCCCACCCCCTCCCACCTATCCCTTTCTATGCATTGTTCTTTTTTTTTTTCCTTCTCAAAAAGCTTGCCAGACACAAGAGCTTGTAATAATAGCTCACACCCCCACCATCCCATTGCATGTCTTTCCTCGCCCCATGCTACGACATCCTAGCTGCTCTTTGGGCGAGTAGCAAACATCCCGTGACGTGAACCACTCAGCCGCCGCCTAATAGTCACCCTGTATAACCCATCCCCCCATTTTCATCCCCAGTATTATTATCACTGACGATTGAGCATTCAACCACCCAAACCATACAAAACTTTCTTGGGTGCGTCAATATCATACCTAAATAGCTATATGATACAATGAGAATCTCCCAGCCAATAATCACTGATAGCTACTACGCTGCCAACCCAACTATTACATAATTACTATACCTTTCGCAATTACCTTTCCTGGTAACAGCTACATGCACTCCTTACCGCGAGTACGTGGCTACTACCTTCTTCCCCCGAATACAACGTGCGGTCATTATAGCTGTATTTGGGGTATCTTTCAGTCTAAATACAGCTATAATGATCGTACGTTGTATTCGGGGGAAGAAGGTAGTCAATGTGAAAAACAAAAAATGCACGCCGACAGGCGGGAGGCTCTTCCCCCTCCCCTCCACCTTCATGGTCGCCATAATCCTGCCCATCACTTACCCGTCAATCAGATCTGCGATTACCTTGTCCATCCCCTCTCAGGGTACCCCTCACAAATACCATCCTTCATCTATGATCTACCAGAACACAACAGCTCGACAGCCAATGATAACAGAACACTGCCCCCTTTGCTTGCTGTTTGTTCCCTCCCCTTCCCCCCCGCCCCCCGCCTAAAGCAAATTCGCTAGGCCAAACCATTTGAGCCTTAAATCGGCTCTGCACTGTGATAAAAGAATGTATATGTGCTATCAAACCTTAGGCGCCTTTTCTCTGCAAACAGAGTTTTGCATTGACACTACCAAGTTCAGACCACAGAGCTACCTCCACGCACAATCAGCACCACAGAACATTGCCGACGCATAATCCTCTTTCTTTCATTAGTTTCATCATTCTTTCTTCTTTTCACAATGCCAAACGACCAACCTCCACATCGGCAACAGAATCTTGCTGCGCATCGAGCTGTCACTTTCACTATAAAACTGAACCTGTTTAGCATCCCGACCTATTTAGTATCCCGATCTCCCATTTAGCATCCCAACCTCCTATTTAGCATCCCACCTTCCTATTCAGCATCCCAACCTCCTATTTAGCATCCCGACTTCCTATTCAGCATCCCAACCTCCTATTTAGCATCCCGACTTCCTATTCAGCATCCCAACCTCCTATTTATCATCCCCACCTCCTATTTAGCATCCCGACCTCCTATTTAGCATCCCGACCTCCTATTTAGCATCCCGACCTCCTATTTAGCATCCCGACCTCCTGTTTAGTTTTGGAGCATCTCGTTTACGGTCCCGGCCTCCGGTTTAGCATCCCGATCTCATCAGACACGCGAGACTATTACATGCCGTTATTCCCTCCATGTCATGATACCCGAATTACCGTAACGAAAGTTCGTGTTTTCACATTTATTACCCCGAGGCAAATTCTAACGGTCTGTTTCAACATGGGACTAGCGGACGATTCTCAAGAAGATAAATGCGTCCAAGGACGTAAACTCAGCAATCTTCGGGATTCAACGGTCTGCTCCACAAGTTGGGTATGACTGTTATGCGTGCAAGATGACCAACCATCGTATACCTCGGAACAAAATTCGAAAATCCGATCGTGCAGACAACTGACCGTTCAACTGCAAAAAAAGTCAAACGTATCCGTAAATGCGAAGACTTGTACGAGAAAAAACAACCGTCCCAAGTCTTTACGATCTTGCAGTGCACAGATGAAACTGAGATGTTCACAACCCTGACTTTCGCATCTCCGCTAATCGTCATCTTTGCATCCAGTTCAGACGATGTCAAACGCCCACGCTTCCCCTGTTCTTACAGCGCTCTCTCTCTCTCTCTCTCTCTCTCTCTCTCTCTCTCTCTCTCTCTCTCTCTCTCTCTCTCTCTCACACACACAGACCATTGCAGTATGATTCTCACCTCGCATTCCCTCACAACATCACTACAACCTCTCTCTCTCTCTCTCTCTCTCTCTCTCTCTCTCTCTCTCTCTCACACACACACACACACACCATTTCAGGACGATCCTCATCTCGCATTCCCCCACAGCTTCACTCCAAGCTCTCTCTCGCTCACTCGCTCTCGCTCTCTTCCCCATTTCGTCGCCCCTTGCTCACGCTCCGCAACGCGTGCATCGCTGATGCCCCACCGTTGTTATTGATGGCTGGCCTACTTCCATCTTTTTGTGCAATCGTTCTACCTATGAACAACGACCAGAATAGTAATATTTTTCCCCATCTGATTCGCTACGTCACCTTTGAATGACTACCAAGGTTTTGTTAGATTGGAGATTTCACCGTTCACGACCCATCACCGGCACCACTACGTGGATTTTTTCCAGGGCAGGAAAGCTCTTAGCGTAGAGGCAGTCCAGGACGACAGAGGCGAGGGCGCGTTTTTCTTTTCACGCTTTCCGTGCAGGCGGAAGGAGAAGAGTAAAAGCTGGATGGGTTATTGAGGGAAAGAGGAGAGGGACGTGGAGAATCGTTGCGGGGGGGGGGGGGGGGGGGGGGGGGGGGGGGGGGGGGGGGGGGGGGGGGGGGGGGGGGGGGGGGGGGGGGGGGGGGGGGGGGGGGGGGGAAGCAGTACTTGCCTGTACCTCGACCGCAACCCGAGCAGCGCGCTCGAGCTCGAGCTCCTCTCGTACTTTCCCGGCCGCTTTCTCCGCTTCAATCCTTTCCTTCCAGTGCTCCTCAAGATCTTCCGCACATTTCCGCGCCTCCGCCTCTGCCTCCGCACGACTCGCCCTCTCAGCCTCAACAAGGCTTTCGAGTCTCTTGATGCTCACTTCGGTCTGCTCTGCAATCGTCTTCAGCGCCGCGTCCGCCGTCCTCCTCGCTGCTCTCTCGGATTGCAGCATCTCCTTAACATTTTCGACGTTCTCTTCCGCAGCACTCCGCTGGGCATGTTCTCTCTCCAACTGCCTGTTCGCTGCATCGACCCTCGACTCCGCTTCCACTCTTGCGGTCTGCTCCTCCTTTAATTGCTCCTTCGCACCTATCAACTCCTTCTCCAAGGCTACCCTAATATCCCGCTCATCGGCGAGCTGCCGAGCCACAGAGCAGGCCTGCGATTCCGCGCCAACGCGGACAGACCGCTCTTTGTTCAACGCCTCATTAAGGCTCCGCGCTTCGGCATCCGCGAGCTTGCGCGCTCCCCTGGCCTCCGCCACATCCCGCCTGGCATCGTCGACCTCCGCCTCGGCAGCCAGGCGCGCGGAGCGCTCGCGCTGCAAACACTCCGTCAACCGTTTGATCTCGCTTTCCGCGGTGCTCCTCCCGCCCTTCTCCTGCGCAAGCTGCCTCTCCAAGGCATCCGCTCGAGACTCAATCACCGCGCGCGCTTTCCGCTCACTCTGCAGCGCTTCCGCCAAACACTGTGCTTCCGCTTCCGCCTTCGATCTCGCCACCTGTTCCTCCGAGAACTGCCGAATCACCATCTCGTACCCCAGCTCCGCAGTCACGCGCGCTGTCTTCTCCGCCTCTAGCCTCTCGCCTAGCGCCTTCGCCTCCTTCCTCGCGATTATCCGCGCCGATTGCAACTCCTCCGCTAGCTTCTTCTTCTCCGCCTCCACCGCTAGGCGCAATCCTCGCTCTGTGTCTAGCTGTGTCTCCACGCGATACCGCGTGTACAGCAGCGCGGCTGCTCCTATGGGATTGGCATACGTTACCACAAGGAGCAGCCGCCCCACGAGGCGGACCGCCATGGCGGACACGGAGGTCGCACATGGAGATTGCTGCTGAATGTTCATCATGGTGATCAACGGCGGACACGACAACCCAATCTCTCCCGCCTTTGCCACAAATCATGCAGCTCCCCGCGCCCTGCCTCTGGCACTCTACGCCTCCCTTCTCGGCCCTCAACCTCGCACGCACGTTCTCGTCACCGACTGCCCCTCGTCCTCACTCAGGGTCCTCCTCGCTGATGGGCGCCTGAGACCCCAATCCCCCCCCCAACCCCTTTCTCAGAGAACGCGCGTGCTCGCACCCGAGTGCGCAATCCAGCAGGAGGACCAGCGTCGCTACCAGAGCCGAAAGGCCGAAGACAGAAAAAACACGGTAGCGACCGCAGGAGATCCTTCGTCTTCCTCGTCGTCCTCCTTCATTACATCAGACTCCCATGCACTCTCTCTACATCATTCTCGCTAACTGAATACCAACGGCCGCCATTCCCATCCGGACAGCAAAGCAGTCAAGAGAACCCAGGACGCTCTGAGTGGATGGAAGAAGAGAACGAACGACTGGACAGAGGCTCCGGCCCTTGCCGCCTGACAAACGCTCCTCTACTACGTACTAGTGACCAACTAGTCAACCACTATGACACGACATCGCCGGGTTTTCTCTCCATTAACTCCCACAATCTCTCTCTCTCTCTCTCTCTCTGAGTGACGCTCCATAGCTTCCTCATGAAGGGTCCGCAACAACAACAGGCGAAAGCGTAAACAGCGCCTAACTTTCGAATCCGAATCGTATACAGAGACGGGAAAGCGAAGACGGACCAACAACGCCTCCCCGGATGCTGGCAACATGCGGATCCATCGCGGATACGCGCGTGCGACCCGCCCGCCACCAGCAAGAATTCTGTTGTTGCTTGCGAGACCGTGGTACCCACGCTGGACACGCTCGGGGGTGGACCGCGGTATTTCCGCGCGGTAAAGTTGAGGTTCGATTTCAATCCCGCGCACACCCGGCTCTGCCGGCCAAGGCCCCAAAATATTATGTGAACGCACCCCGCCCAAATGACTGCATGGTACACGGATGTAACTGTTGGTAAACAGAACATGTGTTCGAGTCCACGAGCCGATCAACGCAATTAAATCTGCCTTGAGGGGCTATAAAAAAGAAACGCAAAAACGAACGTGAATGACGGGCGCCCCSCCCCCCCCCCCCCCCCSCCCCAAAAAAAAAAAGAAAGGGAAAAGCCGCGCGCCAAGGCGTCCATGGTACATGAATGTAACTGTTAGTAAACTGAACATGTGTTCGAGGCTGCCCGTCCCGATGAACGCAATTAAAGCTGCGTTGAGGGGCTACAAAACTGCAAAAAGCGAAAATGTACGTGAATGAAAGCCGCCCAACAAAATTGGAACGATACAGAGAAGATTAGCATGGGCCAGAGAAGAAAGCTGCGCAAGGATGACACGAGGGAGAAAGAAAAAAAAAGAAAAGAAAAAAAGGGGAAAAAAAAGCCGTGCCAACGCGTGCACAGGAGACAAAAGGGAGGAAGCTCACCGCCAGTTAGCTTGCTGGTTGCTTTCACATGTCTTCTGCCCTGAATTGCAGAAACGCGGCGGTTCGCTTTTCTTCTGCCTTCCGGCCGCGACGCTCGGCTGGCTTTCGGAGCGACGGGTCGCGCGACCTCCGCGGCAGTGGAAAGAACGGACACAGCCGTCCATACCATAGGCGCCCGCCGCACTGGCAGCCGCAGTAGCAGAGCCTGCCGATGTATACGAACCAGCGCATCGATCCCAGCGCCTGAAAGGTTGCCTCTGGACACGCTATTAACCCGGCAGGTTGAGTTTTCCCGCAGTAGAAACCTCACCTCACAGCTGACGAGTCCTATCCAGATCCGTCCACACACACTTATCGCTACCGTAGCCCGTAAGGGTCCCGGCCCTAAACGTTGACATCTGCTGCAGTGTGTGTGTGATAATCCTCCCAAGAAAAGAAAAACGAGGAACTCCACAGTAGCAACCAATGGTATAATCACACGGAACTATTGATAAACAGATGATGAGTTCAAACCTCTCAGAACTACAGCTTACCACGTGGGCTCCGGGAGCGCAGCCCTCAAGGATTGTGGGCAGGCAGTGAACCAGACTCCGGGCGTTGTTAGACACTACTCGGGGACAAGGATTCCACCTGTCCTTGGGGATGGAATTGAAAGAAAAGTGAAAACACCATTGTCTACCACGTGGGCGCGGGGAACGCAGCCCTAAGGTAACCAAATCAATGAGACTAAGAGCTAACACAAGAGAGAGAGAGAGAGAGAGAGAGAGAGAAAAAGAGAGAGAGAGAGAGCTGTCTCTTATACACATCTAGATGTGTATAAACCTCCTATTTAGCATCCCGACCTCCTATTTAGCATCCCAACCTCCTATTTAGCATCCCGACCTCCTGTTTAGTTTTGGAGCATCTCGTTTACGGTCCCGGCCTCCGGTTTAGCATCCCGATCTCATCAGACACG